ACTTGACAAATTGAGATATTTTTAAAATTTCGGCCTTACAGAGTCGACCTTTTTAAGCCCATTGACCCTACAAGGCCAGTGCTGTAGGGCTGAGCAAGCACATATTCCCACCTCTAGTCTCAAATTAAAGAATATACAAACTGCAATTCAAGGTTTCAGAACCACGCGACTGTCATCACCCCTTCAACGACACAGGTGATGATGTTAAGAACATTATTCATATGGAGCGGCAAAAGTATTGCTAGAGAAAATCTTTTCAGCATTGATCACTTAGGTGAATTTGCAAATAACAATAAAATTTTGTTGGTATTCCTTATTTGTTATTTAGAAATTTTCACCTTCTTTTCTTGTCATTTTTTCATTCTGAAATTACCTTTATCCCTTTAAAATTCTATAATTAGTCAATTACTTTAAATTTTAATTTATCTTCTGAGGTTAATATTTTGTTTATCCCTCAAAAAACTTTTAATTATGCATTTAGTTTTTATTCAAAAAGTCCAAATGTTACAATATTCATAATCAATATTACCACGAAGAAAAATTATTCTTTTTCTTTTGTCACAAAAAAATTATTCTTTTTTAAATTATTTATAAATGGGAACAAAAGGAAAGCTAAATGGATCCCATAAAAAGCCATCAAAAGAAATCCATCCATCATTAGGAAAAGAGTGTGGTCTAGTTGCTAGCAACTCTCCAAGCTCCCCCGCTATCAGTCTTACATGGAGAGAAAGAGTCCCTGTATAGCCATGATTCCAGCTCCAGGCTTTAGCCATCTCCTTCCACTTATTGAATTCTCAAAACGACTCATCGTTCGTCAACCTCACTTCCACTTCATCTTCTTCATCCCTACGCTTGGCCCTCCTTCTCCAACTACGATTTCCATCTTGGAATCTCTCCCACCACAGATAGACTTCACTATTCTTCCACAAATAAACTTGGAAGACCTCAAAGATGAAGACCCAGCAACACAAGTTTACAACACTGTCACGCTCTCTCTTTCTTCTCTTCGTCATTCTTTGACCTCATTCAGTTCTCCAACTCATCACCTTGTGGCTACGGTTGTTGATTTCTTCTCAATGGATGCAATAGACATAGCAAAAGAACTCAAACTCAAGTCATATCTTTTATTTCCTTCAGCAACAACTTCATTATCTTTGTGCCTCCATTTTCCAGAGCTTGATGAGGATCACGAGATGTTTCCTGCTGGATTTCGAGAGTTGTCACGACCACTGAAACTTCCAGGTTGCAAAATAAATTTATGTTGAATTCTCACTCTGCATATGTGGAAATATTTCAAGCTGAATTGAATATTGTATTAACATCTAAAAATTTCTGCAGGTTGTATAAGTTTTCAAGGCAAGGATCTCCCAGACCCATTTCAAGAAAGATCGAGTGGAGGCTACAAAACAATGCTTCATGCATGCAAAAAACTTCTTTTACCAGACGGTATCTTAGTGAACAGCTTCATAGATCTGGAACGAGAGGTAGCAATAGCTCTACAGGAAAGTTATAACCATCCTTTGGTTTATCATGTGGGGCCTATTATACAGATAAGATCGATAAGCATAAATGAGTCCAATTTAGAGTGTTTAACATGGTTGGGAAATCAGCCACGAAACTCAGTTCTATACGTCTCTTTTGGGAGCGGCGGAACATTATCACAAGAGCAGCTTGATGAGCTAGCCTTTGGGTTACAGATGAGTGGCCACAAGTTCTTGTGGGTCCTGAGGGCTCCCAGTGGAGTGGCCAATTCGGCTTATTTGAGTGCACAAAAGGAGGACCCCCTTGACTTCTTGCCCAAAGGTTTCTAGAGAGAACAAAGGTCAAGGCTTTGTGGTCCCATCATGGGCCCCACAAGTGGAAGTTCTCAAACATGAATCTACTGGTGGATTCTTAACTCACTGTGGTTGGAACTCAACACTTGAGTCCATCGTCTGTGGGAAACCAATGATTGTATGGCCATTATTTGCAGAGCAGAAGATGAACGCAGTGATGCTAACTGAGCAATTTAAGGTTGCAGTGAGGCCAAAGGGTGATGAGAATAAGAATGGGACTGTAATGAGAGAGGAAGTTGCTAGAGTTGTGAAAATATTAATGGAAGGTGATGAAGGCAGAGAACTTCAAAGAAAAATTCAAATGTTTAAAGATGCTGCTGCGAAAGCTCTAAGTGAAGATGGTTCATCTACGAGAACCATGTCTATTTTAGTACAAGAATGGGCAAGTTTGAGTAGCAAGTAGAATATGTTTAATTCAGTTATTTGGCTTTTTTTTTTTTTAATGATCATTTTGTCGGTGTCAATAATGGGTCCGTTATATAAATGAGCCATCTGCATAGTGGACTTAAAATGCTGACTACCTTCCGATGCGGCTAAATTATATTATATTGGACCTATGTAATTTTCTTTCTTCTTTTCTTGTCAAAATCTCCTATCCACCTTTAGATCAAAACAATAGATGGTTGATGTGCAATATTTTATATAGCTATTATTAAAATATTTTATAAACGAAATTTTTTTATACCATGGGTATAAACTGTCCAAATTAAATTTTAACAGTTTAAATTTATTTATATTTTATTAATATTTTATAAGATATTATATCTTAACTATCCATGTGTTGACCTAATGACGGAGAAAGAATTCTGAAAGAAAAAAGAGAAAAAAAGATTTTGAGAGGACCCAAATCCAAATGAAATCCATATTCCAACTAATTAATCTTGTTTGATATCGCGGGCGTCGAGCTCATACCGACGTTCCTTCGTCATGACCGTCCCTCCTTCCTTTGCCTTTTCTGCTACCCTCTTCATCTACATCAATCTTCTCCATCCTAAAACCATGTATAAATAATTTATTCAAGTACTTTACTACGGTAATAAAAAAGATTTAAAAACTCAAAGAACAATGATTCTCATGGGACAAAGCTTGAAAATCAGGTTCCAAACGTCAAACATAATAGAAAAGGTAAAAACAACTCAATATTTAAATACTAACCAAGGTTAAATAGAAAAAGATCTATGATCATAGAATTTCAAAAGTACACTATACCATTATAGAAAAAAGGTATACCATGATGGAAAAAATTCAACGTAATTGTGTGAGAGTGGGTTAGGGCACATTCTAAGACCAACATAATAATTTTCCATAAGCCCAGCAAAACAAAAATCTACATATAAGTCAACTCAATTTACGTGTAAACATAACCATTTGATCCAAACATTCCTAACTTTATTAACTTTACTGTAACCTCCTATTCTTAGTATATGAGCAAGTCAAATATTGAATTTAATCCTAAATATAATACCTTAAGTTACTTGGTCTCCCAAATATTTATAATTTTTTCTTACAATATCCCTATTAGTTGTAATTAGTTCCCACTCAGGGTGACTCTAACGTACATAATTAAATACGATAATTTAAAAAATCAACACATATTTATGATAAATAATTAATTTAATTAATTTTTTAATATTTTTAAATTAATTATCTAATTCATAAAGCGGTGTTCATCTTTGACCCAAAGGTATTTTCTGCGAAGGCATGCCACATGTTGACGTTTAGCGGGTCCAATCAACATATTATACCATTGTTTGAAACTCAAGGATATCAATTGTTTCTCATGAAATATTTAAGGGAAAATATAACTTTTCGTCCCTCAAATTTAGGCCCATTTAGGTTTTGGTCCTTGAAATTTGAGATGGTCCCTAAAATTTGAGACCCAAGGTATTGATCCCTAAAATTTACCCCATTACAAACCGTTAGTCCTCAGGAGCTAGCTGCCGTTACATTTTGCTGGGTTGGCACAAACGATGTCAGTTGTCAGCTATGTCCATTTGGCTTTTTACTTGTCCACATGGCATAAGGAGCTGGACATCTAACTAGGAAAATGTAACAATCTTGCAATTTATTATACTAAATTATTGGTTAATATTCTTTTCATTGTTGTTGTAGCTTTTAACCAAGTAAATGATGTGGTTTAATGGCTTTGGAAGTGGTTGAAGGCATTGGAGATACTGGGTTCGAACTAGGGCCATGTCATTGGAGTAATTTAATTTTTGTTTCAGCACTTTGAAGTTACTTAAATACCCTTAGAGTAAAAATAAAATAAATAATAAATAAAGCATCAGATTTTTTTCTTTCTCTCCTAATGCTCTTTACTTTAGCGAGAGAAAGGAGGAGTAGAACAAGTTTTTTAAAGCTGAATCCCTAACCCTTCCTTTTCTTCGGGGGTGTTTGGATGAAGCCAAACCATGGTTTGGAGAATAGCTTCTGGAGAATAGATTTTGGAGAGAATAGATTTTGAAAGAATAGATTGTCTGAAAAAGTGATTTTGATAAAGTGAGAGTGTTTGGATATTTATTGTCAGAAGTGCTTTTTTATATGTAGAAATTACTAAAAAGGACATAAGTTTAAATGATAGTTACATATAAGATATATTTCATAATATATGCTTATTTGAAGTAATAAATTTGTTAATAATATATATTTTGGCAACATAATAAATAAGACATAAATAATATAAATAAAAAAATTAAAACGTATATATATTAATAAAATAAGTAAATATGTTTTTTGTAAAATAATTTACTTTGCCAACAAAAAATATGATTAATTATTTCAGAAAATATGATTAACAAAACATATGTTTGTGGAAGTAGGATCCGCGGACACCAAGTAATATATTTTGCAAAGCACCACCAGTGAAAGCTATAGCATGGAGCCTCGTAGAGCAAAGGAGGAAGGAAATAATTGATATTTGCGGGGCCCACCAACAGTCAATTATTAAATCAGCCTAGAAGTAGCTCCTCCGTCCCTTATTCGAAACCAAGGTTTTGGGGGGCCAAAACCATGGTTTCCCCCAAAACCATGGTTTCAAATTTTTGATGGGTGTTTGGCAAATTTTTTTTCCAAACCATGGTTTGGAGAGAGAGCCAAACACCCCCTTCTTCAACGATCGCATCTCCCTCTGTCCTCCACCGTTCACTTTGCAGTCTTCGGCGTGCATTCTTGCAGATTCTTTCTCCTCTGTTTTCGCTGCAGAACATTGCTAGAGTTTGGGGTGTTTCTCTTTCAGTTGGAGTCATTTTCTCCCCTTTTTCTGGTTTGTCTTGCAATGTAGGAGTATGGTGTAAGTTTAGGTAAGTTTTACCCTTCTTGTTGTGCGTTTGGGGCTGATTTTGGTTGATCTTGGGTGGCTATGCGAATTTTCTTTTCCATATTCGTTTCTGCAGAATTTTGGGTGTGGGTGGTCACGTGTAGGATGTTATCTTCTTGGATCTTGTGATTTTTGGCTTGGGTAGAGAATGTTAATTGGTTTGGTTGCTGGAAGTTTTGAGATTTCAAGAATTATGGGGGTTGTCTTAAACAAAGCATATTGAGGAGGAAGGATTTTATATATTGTTAACAGGGTGATGCATGGTGCTTGCTTGCAACTATTATTTGAAGCTTGAAATCATTGGGTGCTTTTTATTTTGGTCTATGAGATGAATTTAGTTAAGAAGGAAACTTGAAAATTTTTTTTGGTGCGGATGCTTGTTTCACAAAACAATGTTGAGTGCCCGTGGGGTGTTTGATAAAATGTCTACATGAGCAAAAGAATTTCTTGATAGGTGTTTATATAACATTTTGATGGAAAAGAGCAAGATAGATATTATTTTGGATTAATTATGATTAAACTTTGGTTTTCAGGAGATACATGAAGGAAATAAGAGTTGATTGTTCTTGTGGGTAGAAAATTTGAAGGTTGGAGTTTTACGTTGTTATCGGGAAACAAGTGAATTATAATTTATATGTTATGCTTGCCGACTATTATGCTAATCTTTGGATATTTTTGGCATGGATGGGCTTGTTAGAGCTACAAGATTGTTGATAAATGATTTAGATGTATATAAGTTATAATTGGGGTATTAATAATGTTTTGTTTCGGGACACTAGGGGATTGAGGAGTGAGCATAACTCAAGGATGTGCTAATTGGAATGAGTTATATTTTGGGAGCATAACAGGTGAGTGAATAGCGTTCCATTGTCTTAATTTTTTTTAAAAACATTTAGCTTCTTTAAATGGTCTATCAAGGTGATTTGACTTAAATTCTATCATTTTTTTTATCTCACTTATTTAATGTTTTAATGTTTTATTACTTGAAGGAATATTTTATCTTGTTATATGCTGATTAAAAGTTCTACGTACAATTCGTTAATCTGCATTTTTGTTTCTAATAAATATTTATACTTGGAATTTGGAAAGGAGTTTTGAAAATATTATTTGAAAATCTTCATGCTGGGATCATCTGTTATAAAATATTCCTTAAAGGATTCCATTCGTGGAAATAAAGTATATAAATATATATCCCTTTGGTTGTTAGTAATAAACTCAATCCCGTGCAAGCTTGTACACTTTTTTTTTAGAGGTCTGGATACAGAAAGCTGGTCACTAACAGCAGCACTGTTAGTCCTTGGCGCGCCATGGTAATTTCGAGCTCGCTGGATATTCGTGGGCATCGTTCCCGCGCTTGTTTCGTGGCTTTGGCTGTGCTTGATTGGTTACTTACCCTCGTGGACTATGTGTCCACACTTGTATTTGTGGCTTCAAGCTGTGCTTGCTATTCCGTTCTGTTGAAGTCCTATAAAAATATTAGTGTTTAAGAAATGTTATTTTATAATATTTTTGTGTAACTAGCTGTCTTATTACAAATTTGGATTTAATTGTTTAATGAGCTTGGGTATACACTTATCTTTTAATTTAAGATTGTGTACTGTAGAAACTTTAATTTTTTATCATAGTCATTCCAAGTAAAATTTGGTCTTATTGCATTAATCTGTTATTACCTTTTTAAATATTATCAATGGAATGTTATTCACCGGTAGATTCTTTTGTTGACTTCAGACAGCACCACTGACCTTGTACTCCCAGCTGAGCAGTGAAGAGCCTCATTGAAGATCCAGAACTTGTGACTTTATTTTGAGTAACTGTTAGCTAATGTAAACTCAAAAGTACATTTATGTCTTTACTTTTAGAATTTGATGCTCCACGTAATCTATGATTAGGTCCTCGTCTTTTGGGTTATTTTGGAAGGTAGTGTTATATATATTGGTGCTGGGGAGCAGAGCCCAAATATTGTTTGAAACTTGCAGGCTATTGTAGAATTTTCAGGAAGTCTAGATTATATTGGAGGCTCTGTTGAAAATTTCTACAAATAGTTTTATATTTTGAATCACAACATGATTAAGTATATGGATGTTTTGTCTAATGAGATGCCTCTATTTATGATTATCCTAAAAAAGTGTGTATATATATATTAGTTAAACAATCCATATATTTAGTCTTAGGAGTGTGAGGTCTCTCATATTCTGTGCCGGTCACCTCTAAAGTAGGGGCGTGACAGAAATTTTTTTTTTTTTTTTTTTTATAAAAAAGATGGCCTCTATTCAAAATGCATCCACAAGACACTCATGGGAGAGAGGGAAATGACGATGCATGCTAAGTAGAAGGGACAAATTGGAAAGGCACTAGGTCAAGAAGGACCCACACCTGCCGGCGAAGAGTAACGTGGCCATCGCTAGAATAGCAGCATTTCTGGCAGCCGGGGTGCGACAAAATTGAACCTGCCATTGGCTTCCTCAATAATTTGTTGAAAGGTGAAGTAATGTGTGTTTGGTATATAGTTGCTTAAGCCGTGTTTGAGAAAAGTGAGGAGTAGGCTGTGGAAGGGGAAGGATAGGAATGGTGATTAATCCATCAATTGCATGAATGATTTAGGTTGTTTGCTCTAGTTAGCCATATAATGGTTTAGTGTTTCTGTTTCTGTCGTTAGATTTTAACCCATTTAGGTGACTCGGTGTTTCATCTTCTTCAATGTTGTGTGGTCGTGCATGCTCTGTTTTCACTTCTTTCTGGAAGTTGTTGGCATGAGCAGCAAGAGGGTGTTTCATCATATTGTAGAGCATTGACCTATCTGAAAATGGCATTGCAATTATATATTTACTACCAGTTCGGGAAAGAGGTTCAGTGAACCTTCAGTCTTCACGTTGTGGGTTGAGCAAGGATGACATCCTTGATTTCTAGCTCACTTTTTCTTCATAAACGATGCTCTTTAAAGAAAATGTTCACAAAGTGATGAATTTATGATGAAGTGACCCTAGCGGCCTAGATGGCACTACAGAGATTTCTGTTTCTTCTACCTACAACACAAGAGTGTAAATTTGAGTTCACCACAATGCCATGAACTGCCTGGCCACTGGTTTTCCAGGATTGTTCTTGCAGTCACCGCTAGATGATTAATTAGATAAAGAAACTCCAGATTCTGATTAGAATAGTGCTCATACACAGTTTACCTCTGATTGGTTGTTGCATTCTAATAGATTACTATGATTTATATATATGTGTGTGAAATACTTGTACATACTCAGGTAACATTTCAGACTTGGCTTCATGATTAAATGTGCTTGGATACGTCATAGAAAATGGGTTTGATGAATATGTAGAATTGAAGAGTCTCGATATCATCATTCTAGTTCATTGTCTTTATTTTATATGCTTATAATGCGAGTATTAATTTCTGGTACCATAAGCTGCTAACGTTATCTCTCTTATTGGAACCAACTTTAGGCCTCTGTTGAACTTGGATTATGTGAGATGATGAGCAGAGAAGCTATCAGTCCTGCATTGGCTCCTAAGGATGGTAATTGGGGTTTTGATATTGCAGAGCGTGAAGCAATTCTCCCAGCTGGAACAGTGGATAAGAATGCAAAAAGGATGTATAAAGAGGTACAGCTTGAGGACTAGATATTTTTCAACTCAGAATTTTTTGGCTGCTACTTGTTTATGCAATTACAGATTTTAATTGTGACTGTTGGAATTTTTGCCTGATAAACACCAGTTGCCCAAATGGGAAGAGCCAGTTTTGGGTACAAGAGCTAGATATGAGCAAGTGATTAAGGAACTTGCAGATAATTATCATACCGAGAACTTGCTGCTTGTCACACATGGTAAGGTTTTAATTTCTTTTATGTTCAGCGTATGGCAATGGCACCTTTTGATTGTCAACAAAAGTTAAAAAAAGGCACCTTTTGATGAAGAACAAATTTCTTCTTAACTTTCCCCTTACATTACAGAATTTACAATGGGAATGAAGATTTTAATAATACAAAAAGGGTGGATTATAGTTTGCTCTCCCATTTAATTTGGCACTAAATTGGTTTTCCACTTATGCTTTAAATTTGTGTGCCATTGAACCCTCTTCTGATCTATGTTATTATTTAATTACACCGAGGTTTTGCGGACCTTACTCTTGTGATTCTTAAATAGGAATTAATAGTTCGAGTGTTAGAAGTCAATTTTATAATGTTGTGAGACTAAAAGTAGGACTATGCTCATAGTCTGTTTCCAAATATCACCTACATGGCTTTAGAAGACTGAAACTATTCAATGTATAAGTGAATATCCTTTTGACAATCTAATTGTTCTTCACTTTGTCATGCACACGATTATCTATTAGGGCTCAATACCAAAGGGTGTTTAAATATACCATAGGGGCCTAAATAATACACTTCTGTCGCTAGGAGTTAAACTGATTACTGACCAAATTAACTAGGGATAGATCGTAACTGTTCCCCGGGGGGGGGGAGGAACAAGCGAGTTGAAACTTGCAAACCAGTCATCTAGATGAGCTTCCTTTTTTTCAGCAAGAGTTCTAGTTTGAATTGTAAATGATTCGTCTCTTTGCAGGGGAAGGAGTTGGAGTGGCTCTTGCTGCTTTCTTAAAGAATACCACAGTATATGAAGTAGACTACTGTGCGTATGTAGAACTTAAACGACCCATTTTCAAGGAAGATCAATCTTTTACTGCTGGAGAGTTCGAAGTGCTTACTCGTTCTGGTCAAACCGGCATTGGTTATATCCTCCCAGGTGCTTAAACCATTGACGCCAGCAAAAAATGATAGGCAGCATAGGTTGGGACTGGAACCACACTTCATGTCTGTGGATAAAATCTTCCTCATAGTCAAACTAGGAATTCAAAATATAGAAGGAGGAGGCATTTCCCCAGTTTGTTCACAGTGCGTTAAGCATAAACTTTGTTGATTGATCCCTGCGTTGTTGCAAATGTAAAATTTGTCTATTCTGTGCTGCTGTAAGCCGAAATAGGATTACCCCTCCTTGGATTTGTATTTGTATTTTTTCTACCAGATAAGGTTTTGCATAACTAACTCAAGACTTGAATGCCATCCTGCCTGAGGCAACCCATTGGAGCAAGACTTTTTACTTACGTGAGAATTGACTTCTTTTTTTTTTTTTTTTTAAGAAAAGGTTCCAGCAGCTGAACTTGGAACCTGGAGGCCAGCTTCAAGCATTAGAACCTAGGCCATGAGGACCATGTTCGCCAGTGACAATTGATTTGAAAATATTGCAATTTTACCTCACAGAGTTACTAAAGTATATACTGTTTAACTTCTAATTGTTTTCTCTCCGTACTGCAGAATTTCTGATTGACCCACATGTAAATTTGTCCAAAATGACAGTGCTCAATTAATTCTACATGGAGGAGAGTTGCTTATATGAGTACAGGAATTATTTGTGATAATAGGCCATTGGCCCTATGCTTTGATTCTTGAAACACGGTTAGACAGATCGAAAATCAGGCCATTTTGGAAGAAAGTCGTGATCTTGGAAAAATTACGAGGTTTGATGTCAACTTGTGACTAAAATGGTGATTTCTTCTAGCTTGATCCATCCAAGGAAATCTTGCCTATTATTTGATGAGTTTATGAAATTCTACATTGTTTTATTTGTTGAATACTTCTCATAAACAAAGAGCTCTTCAAAAACTATCTCTCAGCACATAAACTATCTTTGAAATTGCCGCTATGTTACTCTAGTCTTCCCCATTTCCTTCATCAAAGCAACTATGAATTGAGTTTGGAATCTTTCCCTCACAGAACCAAAATATCTTTGTACTAACTCTTCTTGCATGTTATTGCTTGGCCATTATTTGGCATACAGATTACAGGCCTTCACGTCATTGGTGGCCCCAGCATGGAGGTATGTTTCGATTTTTAACACGTTTTGCTCATGTCTTCAATTATTTAGTTGACTCATTAGATAGGTTCAATACATTGCACTCCAAGACAAAAAAAAAAAAACTCAACGTTCAAAGAATATCATCGTTAATGGAGGCAAGTAATGAAGATGGGAACTGCACTTACTTGGAGGTGGACGGATCAGTACGTCAGGATGGAAGCAGCGCGTGCGGAGGGGTTCTGCGAAACCAAGAGGGAAGTTGGATACGTGGGTTTCAATGCAAGACCATTTCAGTTCCTTCGGCCTTGGCTGAAGTCTTTGGGATTCCGTATGGGTTAGACATTTGTTGGTCTCGGAATCTTAAGAGCATTATTGTAAAGTCTGATTGTGTAGAGGCTATCAATCTGATGTTAGGGGGATGTGATGTAGACCATCCGTTTAAAGATTTGATTGATGAAGCCATATTACTGTTTCATCGGGACTGGCAGGTTGATATTAGGTATGTTAACAGGGAAGAAATAGGATTAGCTGATTATTTAGCCAAAACCTCCCATAGAATGGAAGGTGTCCTTTGCCTTCTTCGTCAACTTCCACCTGGAAATCCTGGGGTGAATTTTGACGACGGAACCCAGAACTTTTACTTGTAAGATGCCTCTTTATTAATAAATTTCAGTTTTCTAGTACAAATATCATGGTTAAATAGAAAACGAATTATGATTATAAAATTTCACAACACACTACTATGATAAATAAGAGTCTGCATGGTAGAAACAGATTCAATCTAATTTTCAAAATATGTTAAGAGTGGGTTAGGGCACATTCAAGGACATGGCTTATTTTTGTATTTAAAGATATCAATTGCTCTTCATGACATATTTCAAGGATAAAAATACTTTTTTTTTTTGTGAGAAGAATAAAAGCACCTTTAAAGAAACAGAAACGAAAGGCGGGCAAAGGAAAGACTAAAAAAATCTTGATGCAAGGGTACTGTAGGAAATCAGAAAAAGTGCTAGAGAACGAAAAAGATTTATGAGTATGGCCGACACAACTCATCAGTAATTTATGTGGGTGCCGTATATTTTGTCCCTTCTTTTATTGCTATGTGACGCCTCACCAAGTGAGGGCAAAATTAAAGAATATATAAACTGCACGTGACAGTGACCACCCCTTCAGGGACATAGATGATGATGTTAGGAACATTATTCATAGGGGGTGGCAAAAGAACTACTAGGAAAAATCTTTTCAATATTAAATCCGTTCAGAATAATTTATAAATAGTTTATAAATAGTAATTTACGGAATACGAAATAAATATATAAGAAGAGTTTTATCTCGACTTGTATAAAACGTGTTTATAAGAAATTTTTTAAGCTCTCTGGAACAGGCACATTGATTCCTTGGCCAAGGCTTCTCATGAGATGAAAGCTAATTTTCATTTTTTTTTTTTACCAGTCTTCCCTCCATTTCTTCTCCATTTTTTTAAACGGTGGATCTTGATGAGAGAGAGAGGTTAATCTTTTTACCTACAAGGAAGATTTCAGTTATTATTAAAAAAAAGTTTCAGAATTACAACACCGCAGCTAACTTTCCTAGTCAATCTCCGCTCTCTGTGAAAGGTTTTAGGTAAATAATAAGTAAGACTTTAAAGTTTCTTTGTTTGTTCTGTTGACAGTAACACGCCAATCTCTAGGCAAAAATAATCTAATATTATTAACTAAAACCACAATCTTGAAATCACTTTTATCCATTTCAAATTCTATAATTACTAAATTACTTTAAATTTTAATTTATTTTCTAAGATTAGTATTTTGTTTAGCCCTCAACTAACTGTTAATTATGCAGTTAGTTTTTATTCAAAAAGCCCAAATGTTACAATATGCTTTGAGCTCATTTGATTCTCCAACCCATCACGTTGTTGCTCTAGTTGTTGATTTCTTCTCAATGGATGCATTAGAAATAGCAAACGAACTCAAACTCAAGTCATATCTTTTATTTCCTTGTTCAACGACTTTACTGTCTTTCTGCCTCCATTTTCCAGAGCTTGATGAGGATCACGAGATGGTTCCTACTGGGTTTCGAGAGTTGTCACAACCCCTGAAACTTCCAGGTTGCATAATAAATTTACTTTGAATTCTCACTCTCCATATGGTGGAAATATTTCAAGCTGAATTGAATATTGTATTAACGTCTAAAAATTTCTGCAGGTTGCATAAGCTTTCAAGGCACGGATCTCCCAGACCCATCTCAAGAAAGATCGAGTGGAGGCTACAAAACAGTTCTTCATGCATGCAAAAAACTTCGCTTATCAGATGGTATCTTAGTGAACAGCTTCGTAGATCTGGAACGAGAGGTAGCAATAGCTCTACAGGAAAGTGATAACCATCCTTTGGTTTATCATGTGGGGCCTATTATACCGATAAGATCGACAAGCATAAATGAGTCCAATTCAGAGTGTTTAACATGGTTGGGAAATCAGCCACGAAACTCAGTTCTATACGTCTCTTTTGGGAGCGGCGGAACATTATCACGAGCAGTTTAATGAGCTAGCCTTTGGGTTAGAGATGAGTGGCCACAAGTTCTTGTGGGTCTTGAGGGCTCCCAGTGGAGTAGCCAATTCGGCTTATTTGAGTGCACAAAAGGAGGACCCCTTCCACTTCTTGCCCAAAGGGTTTCTAGAGAGAACCAAAGGTCAAGGCTTTGTGGTCCCATCATGGGCCCCACAGACAGGTAGAAGTTCTGAAACATGAATCTACTAGCGGATTCTTGACACACTGTGGTTGGAACTCAACGCTGGAGGCTATCGTTTATGGCAAGCCAATGATAGTGTGGCCATTATTTGCAGAGCAAAGGATGAATGCTGTGATGCTAACTGAACAATTTAAAGTTGCAGTGAGGCCGAAAGGTGATGAGAATAAGAATGGGATTGTAATGAGAGAGGAAGTTGCTAGAGCTGTGAAAATATTAATGGAAGGTGATGAAGGCAAAGAACTTCAAAGAAAAATTCAAGTGTTTAACCGTTATATTGGAGATGTAAAAATTTTCAAAAAAACGTAATTGTTAACGTTATACTGAAGTTGAAAATTTTTATAACTTCAGTATAACGGTTAATAACTTTTATAATGCTATTAACAACTTCAATATAGCAATTAACAACAAGTTTTTTAGGAAATTCAACAAGCTCCAGTGACTGGAAATAATTTTTTTTGAAAATTTTTACAACTTCAGTATAACGGTTAACAACTTTTGTAACTCTATTAACAACTTTAGTATAGCAGTTAACAACAAATTTTTCAAAAAAAATTCAAAAAGTGGCATTTTTATAACTTCAGTAATGCCTTTAACAAACTCAAAAATCTGTTGTTAACTGCTATACTGAAGTTGTTAATAAGGTTATAAAAGTTGTTAACTGTTATACTGAAGTTGTAAAAATTTTCAAAAAAATTGTTTTCTTCCACTGGAGCTCCGACGACCAATTATTGAATTTTTTTTAAAAATCTGTTGTTAACTGATATAATAAAATTGTTAATAGCATTACAAAAGTTGTTAACGTTTATATTGGAGTTGTAAAAATTTTCAAAAAAATTGTTTCCGGTCACCAGAGTTTATTGAATTCCCTAGAAAACCTATTGTTAATTGCTATATTGAAGTTGTTAATAGAGTTACAAAAGTTGTTAACCGTTATACTGAAGTTGTAAAAATTTTCAAAAAAAAAAATGTTTTCCTCCACCGAAGCTCCAGCGACCAATTGTTGAATATTTCGAAAAATCTGTTGTTAACTGATATACTAAAGTTGTTAATAACGTTACAAAAGTTGTTAACTGTTATATTGAAGTTGTAAAAATTTTTAAAAAAATTGTTTCCGGTCACCGGAGTTTGTTGAATTTCCCAGAAAACCTGTTGTTAATTGCCATATTGAAGTTGTTAATAGCGTTACAAAAGTTGGTAACGGTTATATTGAAGTTGTAAAAATTTTCAAAAAAATTGTTTCCGGTTGCCGGAGTTTGTTGAATTTCCCAGAAAAGCTGTTGTTAGTTGCTATACTAAAGTTGTTAATAGCATTACAAAAGTTGTTAACCGTTATATTGAAGTTGTAAAAATTTTCAAAAAAAAAATTTCCGACCGACAGAGCTCCGGTGACCAATTGTCGACCGGTCGTCGGAGCTCCGGTGACCGCCACCGTTGGAGCTCCGGCGACCGGCCGGCCAGTAGGAGATGTGATATTTTAAAAATAATATTTTAAATGAAGGGCAATTTGGTCTTTTTCTTTCACATAATAATCCCAATTTGGTCTCATGGTACCAAAACGGGATTTCTGAAATTGGCCGGACGTTTTTGGGATTCTGGAGTTGAAGTTGCATTTTTCTACCTTTTTCCCAATGTTTATTTACTTCAGTTATTTGGCAATTTTTAATGTATAACAACCCATTATTGATGTTGTGCATTTCCTTTATTCGCAAAAAGAAAAAAAAGGCAAAGAAAATTGGTGCATTTCCACGTCAGTGGTGGTCCCAGCTCTGATGGGGTTTTAAAATTTCAGTACATCTTCAGCATTTATCTTGATGGTGACCGATCATATGGGTTCCATTTATATATATTATTGCCCTACACATGCATTATTATTGCATGCAATAATGAGTACACTGACGAGTGAATAGTACTGTGCACGGTAAGGATTAAAATTGAACAATGATCCAATTTCTTAATTAAATGGGTCCATGGTATAATGGGTAATACGTTTTTGGGAAATGACACACAATAATGGGTAATACGTTTTTGGGAAATGACACACAAGGATTTTTTTTTTAAGGGAAATATATTGACTTGAACGGGAAGTAGAAATATTCCATCTATCGCTCTAGTCATATCAGAGTTGTGCTCATCCGCCAAATCCCCGAGCATCTTAAATTAAACTCTCTCTCTAATAATACTGAAGTATCTGGATCTCCCTGCTCGGAAATAATTTACTACTACCTCGAGTTCTTGGTTTTTAATTTCATATTAGATATAAAATTTCAATCCATTTTATTTTTTATATATATTTATTTTTTTAAGATAATTCTTGTAATAATGATAGTTTTAGTCAAGACACTTAATTAACAGGATATTGTAGGAAAGATAATATCTATTTATTACAAATAACTAATTTAATTAATTTTATTAATATATTCAAATTAGTTAACTAATTTTTATATTATATTAAGTACACGAGCTAGTATTTCATTATCTCTACCAAGATGGGTCTACATAATAACCAGGAACCATATGGTGTCGTCTTCAGAATTCTCCACACATTAAAGATCCTCTCTCTGTCTCTCTCTCTCTCTCTCTCTACAGAGTTAAGGAAATTACTCCCTGCGACTCAGATTTCAGACCGCTCATCCAACACAACAGGCCATTTTCTGAGAAGAGTCTGCTTCCAGGTTCACAATCTCTCTCTCTCTCTCTCTCTTCGCTTTTGAAGAAATGGAAGCTTAGTTTTACTGGGTTTGGTGTTGTATAGACATGAGCTCTGTATTTTCTTGCTTTCTTCTTCTGCTGCTGCTGTTTCTTCTTGTTAATGATTCATATTTTTGTTTCTTTAAATTACTGCTGGCACTGGAAAGTGGAAACCATTATTCTCGGTTTCTCTTGTTAGTTCAGCTGCTTAAACGATACCATCATCTCATAGGGTTTTGATCCTTTCATTTTCTGTTAAGTTTTTATTTTACCCCTACAACAACAGTACTCCCTCCGTTCCTTATTATAAGAGACATTTGATGCTTATAGCATGTTCCCATATATAAGAGACACTTAAAAGTTGTCTCTACTTTTTTGTGTTGATTTCTTATTTTACCCTTATTTATTTTGTCTCCAACTCATACTCTCTCTCCCTCCCACTTCTCTTTCTTTTAATAATTTAATTGTTCTCTTTCATACTCTCTCTCCTTATTAATGGGGGCATTATTGGAAAAAATATTATACTTTTTACACATTAATTGTACTCAACTAATTTTAACTGTTTTTTTGATCAACGTAATTTAATTATTTGTCTCTTATAATAAGGAACGGAGGGAGTATTATATTATATTACATGGAGTTTTTTTGGGGTCAAAATTACATGGTGTTAGTTACATGAGTCTATGTTGTATTAATAATTAGATCTTTAAATGATTTTTTAAGCCAAATGCCATAAACAATAAAATTAATTATCGAGATACTACACCATGAAAATTAAATTATTTATCAGGGTCTAAAATCAATACAGGGGACTTGTTCTTATAAGAATGAGTTTTGTATTTTTTTTTTTTTTGGAAATAAATTCTTTTTTAAAAAAATGCTGCCACCTAGTCCCTAGTGCTTGATCCCCACTCTTTTTCTCCACGCCACCCCACTCTCCTCAAACATTTTTCTTCCCACCTCACTTTTCCCCTCATCCTTCCATATAACATGCACACATGTATGTATGAGGTGGCAACACATGCTGGTGAAGTGCATTAACAAAAAAAAAAATTTAGCGACGACTTTTGATAGTAACTTTAAAAGGTCACCGCCTGAAAGCCTAATTTTCCTAAAAATAGCAACTTTCAACAGTAATTTTACATAGTTGCTTTACATAGTTGTCGTTAAAAGTTAGATTCTCAGCGACAATAATAAAAGTTACCACCAAAAGTGAGACTATTAGTGGCAATAAAAATAGTCCCGATACTTGCAATACTTTCAACAGCAACTATAACTATTGCGGCTAAAAGTCTAACTTTTTGGTATAGTCGTCAGTGTCATTTTTTCTACCATTGCTTTATCACTAATTATAAGAATTTTTTGCATTTTTTAAATACATATCAAATTATTAAATACATTATTGGATCACGAAGAAATAAAATAAGATAATTAATAAATTTTCATTTTCAAAGGCGTTGTTCTTAAATTAACAATTTAGTTTAAAATGAACGATATATCACTAATGCATGTGCTTAATTTTTTATTTTTTATTTACTAAACTAGTATATATAGCCAAGGTGTAAATGTTCCAACTTTAATATTTTCATTATTGCTGTGTATACTTAAAAATAATTGTTTTAATAATTTGATACGTAAAATATAAAACTAATTCAATATGCTTAAATCTTCATAAATTTAATCAAATATATCTTTAAATCTATACCTATTTAATTATAAAATATGCACCTATGGAGTGTGTATGTTTCCATCCAAGTTTTCACAATCACACATGAGGGAAAAAGAAAAAGGAAGAAAAACACTCTGATTTAAAAGAAAAGGGGACAATTAGTTAGAGAATAGTACTTGTGATCTTAAGTACAAGGGTTAGTATAACAGTTTGTTTTTTCAGTAAGAAGGGAAGAAAAACACTCTGATTCAAAAGAAAAGAAGACAATTATTTGGAGAATGGTATCTCTAATCTTAAGTATAAGAGTTAGTATATAAGTTTGTTTTTTGTTTTAAATATAAAACTCAATATACTTCCTCTCTTAAATTTATTATTATTTCTCCATACTCTCCTTGCACATATTAATGAGTATTTATCAAGAGGTAGTTTCTAATACAAAATAGCCATAGGTGTACTTTAGAGAAATCAACACATGTTTTCATACAAACAATTAAGTTAACCAAGTTTCTTAATCTTTATATAGGAGTTTCTAATACAAATAGCCATAGGTGTACTTTAGAGAAATCAACACATGTTTTCATACAAACAATTAAGTTAACCAAGTTTCTTAATCTTTACATAGGAGTTTCTAATACAAAATAGCCATAGGTGTACTTTAGAGAAATCAACACATGTTTTCATACAAACAATTAAGTTAACCAAGTTTCTTAATCTTTTTATACCTATATAAAACTTCTTGAAGTGTAAATATAAATCATATAATTAAGCCGATAAGATTTTAATAAATTTATCCTCAGGTCATATGATATTCTTTTCCCTTACACCTTAATCAAAATATCCTCATAGATAGATTAGATATGGTCATATTTTTGTCTAAAAGATATATTAAATATATTTATATGA